ATGTGCACACACGAACGCACGCGTGCAAAGAATAGCAGCTATGTGCTCCCTAGGGCAGGAGCAAATGGATCACCCTTGCCAAAGGACACAACTGAAAGTCTTCTGACAACACAAGGAGGTAGCGTTTAAGTCTTCAGAGCTATACAGTAGTGTTCATTTTCCACCTCATATCACAAAGCAAGCAATTACAGTCTTCGCTAGCTGGCGCTTCTAAATGGGTTTCAACTCTGCAAGCAAAGCTCATGTGGAACATTTTCCTTAAAGCTACCAGGAACGTCCTCCTGTAATGTTTTAGAGCCAGCTTAGGTGGGTTCAGTTTCCAGCTTGCGTAAGAGTTACTTTTCTCTCTTTCTGTACAAGTTCTACACCCATCTACTGTCACAACGCGTGTGAACGACTCCTGATCATCTGCCCGTCTGGCCTCCGGCTGTAGGCAACCGAGGGGGCAAACACCCAATACCAACCACCACCACCACCACCACAAAACCCCACACTTCCTTTTCTTTGGAATACTATTTATTGTTGCTACTCACCTTTAGTGAAAGAAGACAAAAGTCACACCACAACGGAACGTGTAATTCCACAGGGCTTCTAATTAAGCCCAAACTAAACATGAGCTGTTGTTGGTTTAGTGTTAAAACTATCAAGCTCATATAACAAAATCCAAGTAGTGAGTCACTGGAGGAAAAGTTATTAAAAAAGAAAAGCTGCTTATGTTAATTAAACAAAGAAAATCTGCCTGGCAGATAACAACAGCTTAGAAGCAAAAGCATTTAAAATGTGTATCTATTTCTTGGCGTTCTCCAGAGCACTCAAACACAGCTGGTATGTCTGCTCATCCATTCAGTCTTAAGGATTAAAGAAATTGTTGGTCATGTTGACTAAATCCGGGGAAGATACAGTGGTCTTTAAAAACAAAAGCCCATGCGCGTCCACCAGGTTTTGCGAATGAAGCTCTGGAAGCAGAGAAGAGCGACCTCACTTCTGCTCCCTTGGAAAGGCAGGGTACAGCGCAGATTGAAAACCATCCGGCCTCAGAGAACCTCTGTGGTCTGGAAAACCCCAAACAGGGAAAAAGGTTCTGCCAGAGCTTGTCATGAGGCACACAGAGCCAACGATGAGAAACCCCCTCCATTAGAAACCAGGCTCCATCGGTACTGCTGCTCGGTCCTTACTGAGTGCCAGGTGAGGAAGACGTTGCCAACAGCTCAGGTTTTCCCCCTCATCCCCACAAACCCTTCTAACAAGTTATCCCCATGTTGCAGGAACCCGTTGAGAGAAATTAGGCTATGCCAATATTCAGGTTTTCATTCATTTCATCTCTTCTCAGACCTGAGTGGGCAACCAAGAGACTTAGAGTGAATCCCACATCCTCTCATGAATTTATTCTACTTCCTCTTATCTTTTCCCCTAATTTAGATTAAACTTTTTTAGAAAAGCCTTCCATAATGACACATTAACCCCTGTATTTGACATTAGCACACATTTAAAGAACAACTGCAGCATATTTCGTGGTAGTCATATTGAGAATAGTTACATAGCTATTTTTACGAACTTACCATTGTAGACATACTACATCCTGAGACACTTAAAAAACATCACCCCCCAAAAAAAAAGAATCATACACGACATGAGTAGATGTCTGTAAGATTTTTAGGTGCATTATTTGCTATTGTGAATAAATTTTCAAGGATTTCCAGCTCTTAACTATAATATTAATCACAGAATGCTTTTATTTTTCTGAAATGATAAAATTAAGATGGCTGTTTCCAAGTCACAGGTTTTTGGGTTTTAATTTTAGAGCAGGGATTTCCAATGTAACCGCACAGAACCAAAACCTTTATGAACACTGGTGTTTAGTAATCTCTTACAACATCCGGCTGTGGCCACGAGAACTTCCATTTAGGTGTTGCTGCTTGAACACCTTACAAAGAATATTGCAAGTATGGTAATAAAATTGTGAATAATCAACCTGCACGCAAACATCGCAAGCACAGTGCAGGATGGCCACAGACACTGGATTCTTCTTCATGAAACGAGTTGTGATAAAGGTACTTTCATATGTTTGTGTGTCCTTCTACTTACTGCTAAGTGCTAAAAGGTGGTGAGTTTATTTTAAATACATACAGATACCATTTTCCTTGTCTTGTACTTTTAAGACGTGAGTTATTGCGCTGAATCATGCATTCATTACTACAAACCTCATGAGCACACTGCTTGCGTCATAAGATGAAAATTGCTTCCTTTCTTTTGACAAGAGAAACCAGAGACGTGTAAGGTATTAAGAGATTCTTTAAGAGTTTTTTTTATTTGTAATCAGACCTGCATCACATCTAGTAATAATTTCTATAGTCTGTATTTTCTCCAGAAAATATAATCTGTCAGTGAAGATACCAAAAATACCCGCTTTCACCATGTAGTAAGCATGTAACAATCCAAGGGTAAAGTTTTCTTTTGTGCAGCGCTCTCACACGTGGTACAGACCTCAACTACATGTGCAGGATGCAAGTGCTGTGCAGAACACCCGTTGTCCATAGGAGAGACATGCATGCCTTAGTTTAGGGATATATCCTATAGATAGGGGACACATTATTTGGGTCTCAGGGAAAACTACACTATTTAAGCTACAGTATTTGGTTTTCCTTGACAGAAGACCACAGAAAACTTCCTCAAGGCTCTGTTAGGCTTCATACCATTTTGATCTTTCCAAGATACTAGATTTCTGACAGCACTGAAAAGGATGGGCATGATTTAACGGTTGAGTAAGAGTGTGTCTAAAAGGGTTAGGACAGTAAATGCATACAGTAGAAGAGCACAGTGGGAGGAGGATTGGAATAGGCTCACATGAAGCAGTGGCAAAAGCCTGGATTCACTGGCTTTTGAAATTCTTCTTTTTCTAACATGATGATTTTAAAAAAAAAAAAGTACATGCAAACAAGTTTCCAAACTACACGAAGATTATTAAAATAATTACCAGGAACATAAAACAAAAAAGACATATTGCAAATTTCTGGGGACAAAAAGCATTACAAAAAGTAGAATAACCCCAAAGAAACAGGGATTTGGCTGTTCTATAGCTCTTCTTCCTACAGCACTGTAGGTGAGTCCACGGCAACACCATTTTGCACCACAGAGTCTCTCCAACAGGCTTGCTCTCCCTCATCCGCTAGACCTCCCTGCCCTTTCAGCCTCAGAATTGAACCTTTACTCATGATCAGTTTTCTTAGGCTCTCAGAAAGCACAGATGCAAAGAGCTACATCCCAACCAAAGGTCAACTGATGAAAAAGCTAACGGTAAAAAAAATTACTGTTACAACTAACACGCACATGCCTCGAGACCCAACTGCTTCCACTTTTCAAAGTGTGCTTGGTTGGAAAAATTCACCCAATGTCTGTAGAAGTGAACCGACCGTGAACCAACTTGCAATCCAAGTCAGTTTTCATTATTAGAGAATTTAGAACAACTTTAATCATGTCAAATTCTTCTTTGCATTTTTAAGTGAAAGAAGATTGAGGTAAATCATTATCTGGTATGAGTCAGTGCTGTTAATTTAAAAAGAAAGAAATGGAACCAAGCAGATTTTAGAGGCTTAATATTACAGTATGTGGCTATTCGTGACTAAGCCTCCGGCCATGAGAAAGAATCCTGAAATTGTTTAACACAAGCAGTAGGACACAGTAAGTAACAGCCTCTTACTGAAACCAAAGTCTCTTTGAGAATCATCTAACTGGGTAGAAAAGCAATTCTGAAAGTTTGTCTCCTCCTTTGCAGATCCCATGCATCTGCTTCTCTATATTTCTAGGTGTATTACTACAAGAACTCAGTTGAAGCAGAGCTATAAGCCATTTCTAGAATTAGATATACTGTTATTCATTTCAGATGTATAATAGTGCAATCACTACAGTAAGGGAGTATAGAAGTGAAAGCTACATTCATTTAATTTGTATTTTCAGAAACATCATGGATTTCTTCAGCTATACAGAGCAGTTAAAGGGTAAGTTCTGCATTACCAGCTTAAAGCAGTGCTATTTAAGGTGAATCTATGTAACAGTTGCAAATACCTAAAATCACTTTACGCCCAGCAGGTGAGAAATATCTACCATGACAGAATTCAGACATAGTGTATTTCCATCCTTCAAGATATTAATACATTCAAACCCACTCCAGTCTTCACTTTCTGTAAATCAAAGCCCAGCATAGTTGCAAAACTGAAGGAAAAGCTGGCAGACTCCCTATCAGCACATCAGTTTCTCTTCTTTAAATATCAAGAAAGTTAAAAGTAATAGTTGAGGCACATGTGATTTTTATGCAGAAGTATAGAAGTATTTCAAATAAGTAGACTAAAACATCAGTACGTCTTTTAACTTCTTTAAAAAAAGACATAGGTCACAGGTCCATGATCACAGTCACAGATCGCAGTCACCGCAGCCTTACTGGACTGCTTTTTTTTTTTTTTTCCCCAAGATGAAAAAGAAATTGGTTCACAGAACATACCACATCTACTTTATACTGCCACTTCACATAGTCCGTGTTTAGTCAAAGCAAAGTAAAAACTCCTGTTCCAAGGCAGCCTGAAAGCATTCTGCTACCCTCAACCGTGAATGATTTCTTCGGTGAAGACAGCTCCAGTGAACCCAGTAACTCAGCGCGAGTCCGTCTGGCTGAACTGACCCAGGCGTTGCACGCAGAACTTACATCAAAGTGCACTGACAACGAGCTTTTGAGAATAAGTCCGTACCATAAACGCTTGTGCTTGAACCTACTTTTATAGCTATGGTTATCGTTTGTGTTACGAGGCACTGCATATATATGTGGAGTTAGTCATCTAATGCACTTAATACTTCTCAGCTGAGGACTATTGCAGCTTTACCCTATGTCTAGGTGTGATTATACTTTGGTTTGCTTTACCACAGTAGCGTTGCACTAGCAGTACAGCTGATGCTAAAGAGAAGGCTGAAAACACTGCAGGCTGGAGGACTGAGAAAACCAACCCGCTTCTTTACTTCTTTTCATGCTTCTTGGTTAATTTTCCTCTTTCTAGCTGGAGGCTCGTACCGCTGTTTGTTCGCTTCTCCTTTTGCTGGCTCTCCTGGGAGACTTGCTGCACTGCTCGGAGGATAGCAGTCTGCACAATCTGCTTGCTGGCGTTCTGCAGCTTCACTTCGTCTTGCTCCGTCCCCGGCTTCTCCCCTGCCAGAGCCGAACGACAAAGAAAGGGAACTGAGCATTTGTGGCTACTCTGGAAACACCTGAAGGATAGAAAAAGAGGAGGGGAAAAAAAGCCCCACCAACCCACAGAGTGCTTGGGAACAGTTTATTATACAGGAAACCTGCTAGTACGGAAGATGAAAAAGTGGGGTGGAAAGTGCCTCCGGGTGCTCAGCGCCGCAGGACCGAAAGGAGGGGGAGGCTTTGAGTCAAGGAGCTCAGCGCCCCACGGCCCAGCCCTGGGCACGGCTGCCAACCAGCACAGCTGCATCTTGCAGCAAGAGGGGGAAGGAGGGTTTTCTCATCCAGCTCTGAATCACATCCTTTTTGACTGGAGCTGTGCTTCTTCATTTTGCAAGCCTGACATGTACTCCCTCACCACCACCCAGAGAAAAAGCTGTTTCATTAACATTTCTATTTACTTTTACTTCAGATTAAAAGCCCTCATCCATCAAATGCCAATTGACTTCAAGGTACAAAATTTTGTTAAGTCTCAGTTTATTGATCCTTAGCTACATTTGCAGAAATATTTGCAAAAGCTTTAAAAAATGCTCAGCTTGCTAAACAAAAAACAGAAAAAAATCCCCACAACATGGTCTATAGCAACCTGACAAATAGGTATTTCTTATGTGACACTGCCTTGTTTTGCCGGAGTGCTAAAATCTGGAGAAGAACAAAGTAATGTTTCTGACCCAAACCCTTCTGTGGTTCTGGGATTCCGTCATCTGTGAGCCCAAAACAACCACCAGCAAAATGATCAAAGCTTACTCTATGAGAAAGAAAGAACTCATTATCTCCCACGTTTCTTTGAAAGGACTTCAAAAAAGATACTTATTTCTATCATGTTCACATTATACATGTTTTGGCCAAAAGTAAAATACAAATGTGGTTTAATTCCATTGAAACTGAATAAATTAAAAAACAAAACAAACAAACAAACAAAAAAAACAAAAACAAAAAACCTGCAACTGTACTGAGATGACGAAGTTTGTATACAATTAAGAAGTTAAACCCATGAAAACTTAGAAAACATGTTTTAAGCTGGAAAAGCTGACCGAATGGAGTAACCTCAATTCTTGGCACAATCAGCTTCCCTGATTCAGTTTGTTCCACTCCTCAGCACTTGAAAAAGTGTTTTTTGGATAAAATTCGATGTTACTTAACAGTAAAGTACAGATATTTCTATATTACTCAAATACAAACTCACTTTGTACTACACAAGGAATTACTCTTGCTGGGCTGAGAAAGATCAGCCAACTCAGCTGATGTTCAGAAGATAATATATTAACAAAAGCATGGATGAACATGAAATTATAAATACAAATGAGCATGTTGGAATGGACTATGACATTATACGAAATCTGAAAAAATTGCCAACCCCTACAGCCTTAAACGCCCCTGAATTTATTGTTAAAAACATACTGTCATTAAGCACGTTGCTGCTGAAAATGACTCAGTTTTCTTTCCTTAGGGATGCTTCATTATTTATTTGGCTCTCGCCACTTAATCTACAAAATCTGAACTTTAAATGTTTTTGTATTAGGAAGGTCATCCACAGCAACACCCACTTGAAAAAAGGACAGTTTTCCAGTGTATTTCTGCCTGAGTTTTTCAGTTGTTTGCCGTGGAGCAAAGCCTGCCCAAAAGCACCACTCAGCTAAGTGAGACCTAGACCATGTCTGCCCAGCTCTAACTCATTAGACGATTCCTTTATTTGCTGGGAAAACAAACGAAGGACAGAGCACCCAAAACCTCTGGATTACTTCTGCCCTGCCTCTGATGGTTTAGGTACGCACAGAAATGAAACAAGGCAGCTCCAACAAACTTAACGCTTTTACCTCTGTGTAGGACAGTTAGGGTGACAGTCAGCACAGCTAATTGGCTTTGGACACGGAGAGAGTCAAAGCTGCTGGCCTGGGTGATGTGACCAGCGAGACCATTGGCAGCTGACGCTGACCGTCTACATTAGAAAGTATCAGTGAAAGTAACAGCCCTCTCGAGGGGGATATCCAACGCTGCGCAGAGCTCCGAGCCTGCGCTGGGACCACTACAACTGCCAGCCAGGAGCCAGGCATGCCGAGCAGTCAGACACGAAGGTCCAGCTCCCCTGGGTGTGTGGTGTCCATCACAGCTGGCCCATCTGGACGTGATCCTGGGCAAATGGTTCTAGGTGACCCTGCTTGAGCATGAGTTGGAGAAGATGACCTCCAGAGGCCCCTTCCAAACCAAAGCCTTTGGCGTTCCTATGATTCTAGCCGGTGAGGCTGCCATAAAACCCAACTTCTCCATTTCCTGAAGAAGTAAACAGCAGTTCCTGGACGAGTATCCCCACTAGGTCCTCTTCTTCCAATTATTGATTTCAAGGAGAGCAGGTAGCACAAAGCTGTTTGCTGAGAAGCTCATTTATTTATTGATATGCTGGACCTACTCTGAGCACGAAGAGAGGGATTGACTAAGGAAAGCAGAGATGACTCATGCAAGGATCCCAAAGGGGCTGAGCTGGAACACATCTATCAAACTGCTCCACCTTGCTGAAACACAGACTGCTGCGGACATTTAAACAAAGGCAGAAATGTGAATGCCTGTAGAATTAATCAGGCATTTTAAGAACCACCTATTTTCAATTAGGTAAAACAGAGACATCGTTCCTGTTGTCCAAGTATTTGGTGTTTAGCTAATCAAAATAAGGGTTACTAGGGTGGTAAGATACAATTAATTTTCACCTATGTTTTTTTAAGATTTGAAGAACAACTAGTTTAATTAAAATTCCAACAAAAGGTGACTTGAAGCAATTGCTGGGAAAAACTTGCAGGATAGCAGAAACAGCATTCTGCCCAACACTTAGCCTTGTCTAATGACTTTTTTCTCTTGATGTCAGAAAATCTTTTCTACTTATTCTCTATCTTTAAATGCTCACCTGACTTATACAGTAACTCAGCACCCTAATTCTGTAAATAGAGAACTGAAAAATCCCAGTTACATGATGTTAAATGCAAGGTAGCAATTTTATCATTAAGACATGACAAAGTCTCTTTGGCATGTTTTTATTACCTTATCTTTGGCTTGGTAAATTTTACGCCAACTAACAGAGCAGATGAAAAGTAATTTGCAAACTCCAGTCTAGTTCTGCAATCTAAAGTACAGTTTGAGAGATTCAAAAAACCTCAAAATCTTGGACTGCCTGCAGGAATCAGTCACATATTCCACTTTCATCTAAAACCAGTGCCATATATCAGTGCCTGGAAATTCCCTCGGCTCGCTTGAAGATTTTCCCCATGGAGGAAAATACACTAACAGTGTGGAAAAAGAAGTAGATTCCAAGTATTCGTTTCAGTTACTAGAACTAATATTAGTTTAAGTCCAAGTTTAAGTGGAAGACTTTACATTCTCTGTGATGTTGCTGGAGTACAGAATACGCCTAGAAAAGCACACATGGAAAATGACAGCTACAGAGAAAGAGCACTTAGCACAGATTAAATCCTGCAGAACCTCACTCTGGTTGCACATGGACCTTTTCTCATTTACACACTTCACTTTCTTCAAAGCATCCCGAGTCAATTCCTTTCCAGCCCCCAGTCACAGTAGTCTCTGCACTTGCTGTCGATATCCCCTGTGCCTTTTCCCTTTCACCTTACTACAAGTTAAATTTCATATGCCTTATAGACACTCCTACTAAGTAACGCTCAACAACAGGTCATCTGTATCAGCACTTAAGTTCCCTACTGTATCTTTTCCAAGGGTTGTTGGGAATACTACCCTGAAGGTACACTACCGCAGGCATGACCTTGCTCTTGCAAAGGTGCAAGTCCTTCCAGATCCACTAACGCTGGCAATGAACCACGGGGGAATGAGACACCTTTCCGTGGGTGCAGAATCAGGGATTTAGGAAGAAACAGAAGCAACGTTTCTCACAAGGAAAGAGAGCAGGGACTAAGCGGTGAATGAGCTGTGGTAGGAAGGAACTTTGGACTCCTGGAGAATATAGACTAGAAATAATACATCCCACACTTTTTGAGAAGACATTAGTCACGAACAAGCATGCAAGACCATGAATGCAGGTCCAATCTCAGGGAAATTCTACTGTCCCTCAGTTATCCCTTTTGCTTCTTCACCTGTGTGAGGTTACTGCTTTTCCCAGCAAAAAAATAATGCCTTTAATTTTAATTCACTTTTCCTCAAAGCACGTGACATTTATGCAGCTCATCATGTCTTCCTGCAGGTTAGGTCTCATTCTGTCTGGAGGCACAGCACAAACATTGCACTTGAAGGGAACAGCTTAGCCTATACGACAGGTTCCATGAATCCCACGGGCCATGCATCAGAGGTCAAAAGTTTCTGTTCTGCAGGAATTCTGTTCTATTCACAGGAATAAGAAATGCAGTTTAATTCCAGAAAATGAATACCACCAACGTTGTTCTAGAAAAAAGAAATTTTTGTTTGTGTAAATGGCTTTGAGTTTAACCATATCTAAAACTAACAATAAAAATCACATTCCTCTAAGCAAACTTCTGAGCAATTTAGAACTCACAATTAACCAAAATGTACTCCCCCGTTAGCTACAATTTTAATTTATGCAAAATTTCTGAAGCTGAAAGAGCCATGAAGCAAATACTCTTTCTTCACTTTTACATGAGATTATGCAGGTATATCCTTTAACCAGAAAATTTACTATTTGTTTTATCCATATATTTCTTTGGATTGCAATAATAAACCATTATACTATTTTCTGCAGCATCACAACATTACAATTAATTTTTTCCATTATTAATAAAAATTAATAATAATTCAATGAAAATACTGCTGTCTGGTAAATCTATTTCAATTCTATTGAAAATCACCACTATAATTTTTATAATCCAACTGACAGTACTAATGAAATTTTTTAATGGAATGGAAGTATAAGTAAGCAAGACTGTGATGGTAAGACTTCATCACAAGGTTGAGTATGGATGCATGGGAGCTGTATTTATGGAAAAAGTTGC